ATTTATGAAAGGATGATCCAAACTCAGAAGATATGTTGATGGTACGAAGAAAAGAGTTGCATATGAGGTTGTTAGTTAGGTATATTTGTGGACGTGGTTGCCGTGTAGTTTAAATTTTCCTGATTGTCGTGGCATTAAATATCCGCCATTCGCAATAGAATGTTACATCATTTCTGCCCATTTCAAGAATCCTTGCAACGTTTGCTATCTATGGTGGTATGCACGCCAAGTTAGTTAAATGATGTATATTTAATATGATATATCCTTTAAGTATGACATTTATGTTCCGTTTTGATACAGTTCTTTCTATGTAACTTGTATTTCAAAATTAATTAATGAATGTTATGTTGTACTATATTGTTGCTGGATAATAGATAAGTTTTCAAACTTAATGATGTGAGTCAAATTAGACCTAAGACTACTCTCTCAAATAAGAGATCAATTGTAGTACTTTAGGGTCGAAATCCTCAAAGCTCTCGTGTTCACACAATAGACTAACACGTTTTGAATTAAGCTAAACAGAAAATAAGAATATTAAATAAAAGCAAAGCAAGTAAATGGGTTTTAAATCAGATGAGGAAAACGTCAGGCTTAGGGATTTCTCAAGAAATAAATAAATAGTAGATCTAGCGAATTAATTAGGATTATTAACGAACCGTTCTAGAACTCAAATCAATAATTTATAGCCAACCACCTCTCGTATGAATTGACTAACTAAACCTAATATCAGGAAGTTCCACCTCTCGAACGTAAACTCCTAGAATTAGACTAGCATTAATAACAGGTTTGATTTGTTCACAGATATTCCTAGACCACCTCTCGAATGTATCTAGTAATTTCTGCCCACCTAAGATAGTTCCAGTAATAGATGACCTCTCGAATCTACCTATTATCCTATGATCAAATTCTAGTTAATTACTCTAGAATTAGCATTAAGAACAATCAAAGATGAAGAACTCTAAAGATATTATCCTAACAGGTTATGGATCTACTAATTCATCTAAATCCCTAATGAGAATCTCTAAACCTAACAAACAAACTACTCAGACATGATCATGGTAACAGAAAGCATGTTATGAATAGAAAGCATAAAGAAATTCAATAAAAGATGAGTTAAGAAAGATCTTCTCTGGAGGAGCTCTCTCCAATTATCTTCCAAAGGGTTCAAGCTCCAAAGAATACAACAGAATAAGAGATCAGAGATCTCAGAGATAATGAAATAGAAAAACCCTAAAAACTATTTATAAAGTCTCCAAAAACGTGCAGGGACTAAAGTTGCAAATAGGGAAGTCTTCTGGGTTGATTCTTCGGGCTTTAAAACTCTTAAATCGTCGAGACTCTTGCTGGGCCTTGTTTGGTGTCGAGCGACACCAAGGGTGTCGGTCGACACTCATGCCTTGGTCTGACACCGAAATCGTTTCTTCAGCTCTAAATCTCCGGTTTAGCTCCAGAATGATTCATTTTCTCCAAATTTGTCCCGAACGTGTAAAAACCTGAAAAGACTCAAAAAGACACTAGAAACAACAAAAAGACTCTAAAACTGACACATATATCACGGCTAAAATCGGTAAAATCCGTGATATATCACTTAACTTATAAATATAAATGATTATATTGAGATACACGTGTACGTACACGACCGACCAAATAATTTCATCCTAACAAATCTCTAATTTATTACTTTAAATCACAGAAAACCTTTACGTACACGAAAATATTTAGTTGAACGTACATGGTATGTAATACATAAAAGCCATTGTACACTTTCGTAATACTCATTCATGGTCGATAACCGTATCTTGATTCAGGTAAAACCGATATTCTAATACTAAACTCCACACCATTACCATTCATTTCACATCTGCCAAGTCCATGTGTATTCCTGTAAGTCAAACATTCACCTTTACATAATTCCTCATGTACATATAGTTAGTAGTGTTCATACATTCTTCCAAAATCATGTCTTACCTCCCGATTAGGAGTCAAAAATGGTTGAATGTCACCATTCTTTCCAAAATGATCGATGATTTTTTCATCGTACATGTTCATTAGTATACGTACACGTTTCTATTAATCAACTGAATTTTCATGTTGGTCCCACAGTCGGTTGAATGTCACGAATATCCTCGACATGTCCTATCACATATTTCTCAACAACAAATTCAGTCCACTTGTTGTAATGTATGTAACGCTCCAACCACCATCTCACTTAATGGGCCCCACGCTCTCTATCGACCCGTTTGGGAAACTTTAAAGACTTGTTTACCAACCCTACAAATCACCATATGATCTTGCGTCGTGTTTTGTCCTCACTCACACGGTTCCACAATCACTTTCCAAAAGGTCACCCATCCTGAAATTGCTCATGCTCAAGCACGCTTAACTGTGGAGTTCTCTCAGGACAATTGAACGAAAAGATAAGTGCACTTTGGTGACATAGGTGGCCAAATCAATTCTTTTAAAATTCTCTGCATGCACCACCATATTCCTGAAACCAGGGTGTTATAATGTAATCTTCGCCATTACTTTTACTACCGTTTATAGTCGGTTCTAGCACATTTCTTATTTGATTCATCGTTGTCCATCATCATTCTTATCGTCTTCTTCCTCATCTTCTTTCTCCTCTTCATCGTCCTCATCCTCTTTATTATCCTCTACTTCTTCTTACTCATCTACTTTCTCATTGTTTTCATCCATATTTGGAGCCTCCAATATGGTTTTTACATTTTCATCCACAAACCATGTTAGTTTCAGCTCCATCATCCTCACACTATTCACACTTTCCTAAACGGATTGGATAAAATGACATAAACATATTTACATTTGGCTTTCCACTATGAATAAAAACAATGTATTCCTCCCTGACATACATAGTCATCATAGATTAAAAAAAAAATGAATTTTAATTAAAAGTACAAAAATAAAAAAATATTTATAAAATTAAAAAGAAAGAAAAATGTGAAAACAAAAGGGGCAATTTACACAAATGGCACTAAAAAGGTTTATTATTCCAAAATGGTACTTTCTTTTGAAACTTCCAAAAATAGCACACAAAGTTTTTAATCTTCTAATTAATTAAAACAGAAAATACACAAAACCTAATTTCATTTCTTCCAAACCCGACGGCTTCGCTTCCAACAAACTTCACCTTCGAAAAACTTGACGACTCCGTCGACCTCCACCTTCGCCGTCGACCTCGACTTTCGCCGTCGACCTCGACCTTCGTCGTCGCCCTCGACGACGCCGTCACCCTCGACGACTCCGTCGATCACCGGATCTGATTTCTTCACCGGAGATTCGAAGACTTTGTCGGATTCATTCTTCTCCGGTGAGTTTGTGTAATTTCTCTCACTCTCCAATTCTTCTCCGGCGAGTTTCTGTAGTCCTTTCATTCACTTGCTTCGATTCAACAAATGCTGAAAGATAATCGGTGAAATTCGATTCCGATTTAGGGTGAAGTTTTTTGTCATTGGGGACAATGATTAGATCACTGTCATTTTCACTGCGATTTGTGACATAGGGCTTTGCTATAAGTGAATCGATTTTAGGATACTTGTATTTCAAACATTGTTGATGAAAATGGTGTACTTGATATGTTTAATTCATAGTACATTCTTTTGTTCTCTAGATTGCTGAAATTAAGAAATGATTGAGTACTAGAAATGAATTTGAGGCTTTATTGTTCTCTCTTTGGCTGAAATTAAGAAATGATTCTCTATAATATTTGTGATTTTTGATTTCATTGGAAGATTTTCTAATCGTTGGTATGGTTTGTGTTGTTTCTCGGCTCTATTTATAACCAAACAAAGTGTTCTTAAGCTCCTTGCACTTAATGAATCTATAGATGTATGAATACAGAAGCTACCGTGATTATGTGATTTATAGACACTATTATATGAATTCATAAGCTTGCTATGTTAGCTTCCATTGTCATTGAAAGTTTGAAGATACAGAAGTTTGAAAGTTTAAAATATGCATATCCTTTGCATCTTAACTATTTTTTGAAATTTAGGAAGGGTTCCCAAATATTCAGGAAGGATATATACAAATTCAGGAAGGCCTTCCTTAAAATAAAAAATTGTAATAGTTATTCCAGCAGGATTCGAAACCGGGGCGTATTGTATTTGTAATTGAACATGTCACCAGTGAGCCAAGCTTCTAATTGTAAATATTGTACAAACGAACGTATATATTTCTATGAAACACGAAACACATCATGACATAAAAAAAGATTTTATAGATCATCGATCCTCAAAATATATGTAAATTGTGATTAATATGAGGCAAACTATGCAAAAGTAAACAATTTTTTAAATTCAGGAAGGGTTCCCAAATATTCAGGAAGGCCTTCCCTAAAATAAAAAACTGTAATAGTTACATCCACTAGAATTCGAAACCGTGACCTATTGTATTTGTAATAGAACATGTAACCAGTGAGCCAGCTTCTAATTGTAAAGTCTGGTACAAACGAACGTATATATTTCTATGAAACACGAAACACATCATGACATAAAAAAAGATTTTATAGATCATTGGCCCTCAGAAAATGTGTAAACAGTAGGTCATAGCTTTTATTTCAAACAAATAACATCACTACTACATATGAAGATATCATTCGAATCATTAGATGATCGAACAAAAATCGAATGCTTGAAAATCGTAGTTTCGGGAAGGCCTTCCTAAAATACTGAAAAGAAGTCCTAAAATAAATTTGAAGATTTATAAGTGATAATCTCCATCTTGTGTAGTAGCTGCTAGCAAAGTTCTCTTAAACTTTCCTTTCAAGAATGTACCATCTACAGCAACGACTCTTCTCATCAAAGCAAAACATCTAATCGACGGGCCAAATGCAATGAAGACAAATTTGAATTTCCCCTTAGGATCCATCTCAAGGTAAGCAACTGTTCCAGGATTTTTTTCCTTTGCCATGAACAACCATTTCACTAAATTGAAATAACTATCCTCAGGAGTACCTCTAACCAAAATTGTGAGCTTCCTCTTTTGTCCTCCAAGCTTTTTTCTACGGTAAGTGTACTCCATGATCTCTCCTGACTAGCTCCATCAGCTGTTTGGGTCTTAATCCTTCTTTCTTTTCTCCATAGTGGCTGCTGTAAAAAGTCCCTAGCAACTTTGCAGTAGCTTGCCTATGATTTGCATTTCTGGGTGTAGTGTCACATGTGTGCTCATGGCAATACTTCTTCACCACAAAGAAATCAGAAGAGACTACCCTCACTGCACGCATCCTCCAAGTACATTTATCATCTACACATACCAAAACCACTCTACCTTTGTTAGACCATCGAGACCTAAACTCAAACTTATACTCCAACGCCCATGTCCTCATCTTCTGCATTAACTCAGCCTTGTTCATGAAATATTTATTAACATATATGCCATTAGCACCTCGTGTTGAATGCACACCGCCTATAGGAATCAGACTACGATCTGGAGCAGGAAGCAAATCCAATGACTTATTGCCTCTTCCTTTTTCAGCCGTTGAACATGTATCACTATATGACACAGAGATAAAAGAAGTTCCAACTGAAGGATGAGGATCCTATAAACACAAAAATAGATAGGCATATGAAAAAGAGTTCAAATTTAAAAAAAAAAGACGACTAGAAACGGATCATATCTGTATATTGCAGTATTTAGGAAGGTCATCCTAAAACTAAATGTATCCTTCCTAAAACCTATGAAATTGAGTTTTTACCTTCTGGCTTTCATGTGCAGCAGAGATAGAAGAAGTTCCAACTAAAGGATGAGGTTCCTACAAACACAAAAAGAGATAGGCATATGAACAAACAGTTCAAATTAAAAAAGAAAGACGACTAGTTCCGATCATATCTGTATATTGCAGTATTTAGGAAGGGCATCCAAAACTAAATGTATCCTTCCTAAAACCTATGAAATTGAGTTTTTACCTTCTGATTTTCTTGTGCAGCCGTTGAATGTGAACTTCCTATAGGAATCACAGCAGAATCTCGAGCAGGAGGCAAAAATAATGAATCATTGCCCTGTCCTTTTTCAGCCATTGAACATGTATCACTTGGTGGCACAAAAACTGAGATGTCACTTCCAGTTGATCGATGAAGTTCCTGCCAGAAAATCACATGTACAGAATTTAGTATGTAGTGTAAGTCTGACCACAGTTAATACAAGAAAGAGTCATATACGTTTTTACTAACCGTTACACACAAACGAATTATTTCAGGATCTCCTTGTTTCTTCTTGATGAAAGTGCAAACTTGGCGATCATTCCGAATATGTATTGGTAGAGAATCTTCTAACATCAGCTTTGGGGGAAGTTCATAGCTAAGGGAAATATCTTTGACTAAACACTCAAGTCCGAAATCTTCAATAACACTCTCAACTAATCCCTTGTATGAAATATTCTCATCTACCTCACAAAGGGATCCGCCTTTCTCTGTGTCTACTAAGAAAACCCACTGAAGCTTTTCATTTTGTTTCCACTTCCTACAAACAGAGTATATCTCCACCATATCTACACCATACCTAAAGAAAGCAACAACCAAATACAATGAACAAACTAGAAGATCCATATAGTATAAGAACACTAAAAATCTATAAAACATTCAAATACTTGGACAAGACTTACAATTATTTCAGAGATTAGGCTCGTTTTTTTATGTTTGTGGATGGTACATTCCTGAGATAACAAGAGTAGCTGTTCAAAATCGATTCAAAGAGGCAAATATGTCATAGGTGTTCAAAATCAATTGAATCAACAAATTCACGAATCAATTCAAAAATTGAACGCCATTAAACAACAGTAAACAACAATGGTGAAGAAGAACGCCATTAAACAACATTACTCGTCTAATTTTGTCAACAAAATTGGTGAAGAAGAAGATGAAGAAATTAGAAATTGCTGGAGAAAGAGATCGATTTAATAACTGATTGAAGATCAAATCTATGAAGCCTCGTCGGAAATGCAGATCGGAGCTCGAAGCTTCGTCGGAAATGTCGTCGGAGCTCGGAAGCTTCGTCGGAAATGGCTGTCGATGGTCGTGCGTTATCTCACGATGAAATCTATTTTCTCTTTATTTTCTCTTAATTATATTATTGGTTATAATTAAAAATAAAGGAGAAATGCTATGTGTCACAAAAACATTTAGATGCTAATTATGTCCCAAAAACTTCATTTAGTGTCATTTAAGGCAATTTCTCAAAACAAAAGAGGGTGGAAAATAATAATAATCTTATTTTATTTTTATATTTGTATTATCTCTATTTTGAACAACACATTGTACCTAACTGCAACGTCTAACTAATTCGTACACAGACAATGTACATTGGTTATGCTGACAGGGACATTTTCTTCATACAATAACTAAATGACTAAAATCTGGAAATTTATTCTCACTTTGCCAAATACTGAGAGAAAAACTCATTTTTATACCAAACGTGAAAATTTCTTTTCTATTATTAAATTCCTAAAGCCAATTGAGAATGATTTCAGACGAATGAATATATTATTGGGAGATTAACAAAAATAGCACTAAAATAAGTTTTTCTTCCAACAATAGCACTACATTTGAAAGTTCCACAAATAGCACTATAAACTTTAATTAAATATTAAATATGAATAATTAGTTTAATTAAAATAAATAAATAAATAAAATTGGAAATTTCCCGCCAAAATTTATTTTTCCCGCCAAAAATTTCCGCAACGTAAAAATATTTTCCCGCCAAAAAATGTTTTTCAACATTTCCCTGCAAAAAAAAAATTCCGTCAAAATTTTCCCGCAAAAAAAATCCACGAAATTCAGGAAGGATTTCACGAAATTCAGGAAGGATTCCTTGAATTTCATGAAAAGATTCCTTAAATGATTGCACGAAATTCAGGAAGGATTCAACGAAATTCAGGAAGGATTCCAGGTAATTCAGGAAGGATTCCAGGTAATTCAGGAAGGATTTCATGAATTCAAGAATTTCAGGAAGGATTCCACGTAATTTAGGAAGGATTTCACGACTCGTGAAACCCTTCCTAAATTACGTGGAATCCATCCTAAATTTCGTGAAATCCTTTCTGAATTTTTTGGAATTGTTTTTGGCGGGAAAAGTCGGACGTAAATTTTTTTGGCTGGAAAATTTTGACGTCATTTTTTTTCCGGGAACAGAAAAGTTTTTGGCGGGAAATTTTGACGGAAATTTTTTTTGCAGGAAAATTTTGACGGGATATTTTTTGGGCGGGAAAATATTAACGATTAATTTGTGATTTTTTATATTTATTTATAATTATTTATTAATTTAAAAAATCAAAAATAAGCTGCTATTTTTGTCCATTAAACTTTTGAGTGCTATTCTTGTCTCAAAAACTTGATTTGGAGCTATTTGAGACAATTTCTCTATATTATTTAAGCTTCCAAATTTTTGTTGAGTGGACAACTTCGTGTGGGTAGAAATTCTAAGTTTATGATTAGTTTTAAGTTTTAACAGGCTAATAAATGATCTCATTACTTTGTTTATGCATGAGAGAAGTACCACTCGAGCAAGATCATAAATCATTTCATCATAATCACAAGAACAAGAACAAGATCACAAGAAAAAATCAGCAAACGCCCATTTTTGTTAAAATCCTTTTGATCATTTCATGATGCGTTCACATGAGAAGTAAAAAAAAATCACAAGACCTAAGATTATAATAGAACGAAACAAAATTTGTATAAAAAATCATGTGTCGACGGAGCCGGTGACCGTATATATGTTTGATATGTTATTTCATTTCATATTTAAATTTCAAAAATGTTGATACTAAAAGCAGATGATATATAAAAGAAATTGAGTGAAATATAAATATAAATATTGTTATAATACATCATATTGGACTTATAACCGGGCCCAATAAGCCCATCAGGGTTATTCATTATGTATTGTATCCCGATGTACTTCTATATATTCCCTTGAGGATCAATAAAATAATTAAGTTCTACAACACGTTATCAGCACGAGTTTGCTCTTAACAACCCTAACCCTAAAAATCGCAAAAACACTGTTCACACAGACACTGTTCATCGACACTGTTCACGCCGGTACTGTTCATAGGTACTGTTCATCGGTACTGTTCATCCCAGCGTGAGTTACCGAGGTCTTAAGCTCCCGGTTCAATCCGTTCAACCCCAATTGGTGAAAGGTAAAAACGAAACCTTAAAAGCTTAAAGACCAAAAATCGAACTTGAACCTAATGCAAAGCAAATCTTAAAAACGGATAATGATTGATTAAGTGATTGCTTTTGCTTGTATGATTCGATTGCTTGAATCGTTTAAGTTGTTAGAAAAGTTATTGCTTAAACCTAACTCTCAAACTCGAAAACACTTAGCCATGGCTAAAACCTTAAAACCTAAATCAAATCAAATCCGAAATCCCTAAAATATAAATCGATTGATTGAGGTTGTTTAGGTTGTTTAGATTGATTATTTCTATGATTGATTGCATGCATAAATTGATAGAAATCAAAACTTAAAATCGCATGAACCCTAAAAACGTTTTTGCGTTTGAAAACCGCAAAATTCAAATCGTTTTCCTTAAAGAGAAACAAAAACCCTAATGCGTTTTTTCAAACGTTTTCAACCGCATGTCTACAATCGCGAATTCAAATCGTTCTCATCATCGAAACATAAACCCTAAAACCGATTGAAACCTAGCGGCTCAACCGCTTACTTTTGTAAAATCGCGGCTCAACCGCTTCTATGTCCAAAACCGCAATTTTTCGTGTATCCCCTAAACCGGAAATCATTCTCGGTTAACTCCTAAACCCGAATATCAATTCAGGTTATATATCTAAACCGATTATCAAACCGGTTCCGAAAATAATAACCGGATCTCAATCTGAGTAAACCGGTTCAAACCGGTTATTCTAAACCGGAAATCAATTCGGCCAAACCCCAAAAACCAAAAATCCCTAAACCGGAATCTAATATTCCGGTTCAACTTTAAACCATTAAACCGAACTTATGTTCTGTATAACCAAAAAAAACCGTATCCTTAAAATTTACGATTCCCGAGAAAGTTTCCTAAATTAGAAAGTTTCCCGAAATAGAAACTTTCCTCAAATAGAAACTTTCCTCATTTAGAAGGTTTCCTAAAATAGAAACTTTCCTCATTTAGAAAGTTTCCCAAATTAGAAACTTTCCTCAAATAGCAAATGACCCTAAAATAGAAACTTTCCTCATTTAGAAGGTTTCCTAAAATAGAAACTTTCCTCATTTAGAAAGTTTCCCAAATTAGAAACTTTCCTCAAATATAAAGTTTCCTCAAATAGAAACTTGCCTAAATAGAAAGTTTTCCAAAAAAAAAAAAAAAAAATCGAAAATTTTATTACATTCATATAACTATTATTTTAACAAACCCCTAATGAAATCAATTTCATGTTTTCAGATGTCAAACATTCAGAAAGTCGAGTTCGAGGCCCTCAAGGTCTCCGGTGAAAGCTATCTCGAATGGGCCCTGGACACCAGGATTTTCCTCAACTCAAAGGGACTGGGTGAGTGTATCAAAGCGGATAACACCGCATCTGATAAAGACCGGTCCCAGGCGATATTTCATATCCGCCATCATTTGGCCGCGAGCCTCAAACAGCAATATCTCACTCTTGAGAACCCACTCGAACTTTGGGTGGCCCTGAAAAAATGGTATGATCACCAGAAAACGGTGCTCTTGCCACAAGCCAAGTTTGACTGGAAGGAACTCCGGTTCCAAGATTACAAATTTGTGGATGACGACAACTCCGAACTCTTTCGGATAGTTTCAATCATGAAACTATGTGGTGAAGAGGTGTCTGATAATGATCTCCTCGAGGAAACATTATCCACCTTCCATACCCAAAACATTGTGCTTCAGCAGCAATATCGTGCAATGAAACATACATTGTACGAAGATTTGTTATCTTGTTTGCTCTTGGCCAAGAAAAACAACGAGCTGTTAATGAGGAACAGTGCCCAGAGGCCCCCGGGATCGGCTCCAGTACCAAATTCCCGCAAAGAATCCTACAATGTCCAGCGAGACAGATCCTCAGATCGTGGCTGTGGACATGGGAATGGACGTGGGAATGGACGTGGAAAGCGTGGACGCGGAAATGGACGTGGCAACCGACATAACCTCGGTTATGGTTCCGGTAAGGGCCGTGGTATCTCTAAACCAAACCGCCCTGCCCACCCAACCAATCAGTCTGCCTGCACCAGATGCGGAATGTTCAATCACTGGACAAAGAACTGTCGTACTCCCAAGTTTCATTGCGATTTGTATCAGAAACATGGGAAAGCACCTGCTGAAGCTAACATGGTCCAGCAAGTTGATGCTGACGACACCACCACCGAGCCGACCGATCCCATGGACTACGAGATCTCAGATCTCTTCGATTGATTCTATCATCTGAACACTTGCTTATTTTGATTTTGTTTTTTTTTCATTTTGGGGATTTGTTTTATTTTTCATTTGCTATTTAATTTCAGACATTTTGAAAATCAATTAATTTATGAATTTTATGATTTACTCAATTTTAAATCATACCTCTTGTTTAATTGAAGATATGAACAATCAAATGGATATCATAGTGGTGGATAGTGGATCCAGCCACACTATCCTCAAAGACAAGAGTTATTTCA